CCCCCCGGTGCAAGGCTGTTTAAATTTGGCATATTTCATTGCAAAATGTGTAAGCCATCTGCCACTTTGCAGGGCACTCTCAAGGGTTGCTGCAGTGTGGTGTCACTAATGGGTACTTCCAGCTCAGGAAGGAGATGCGGTTGGGTGCTGCGGTGGTCAAGCAGCTGTGGGACTTGACCAGCTGGGTATTCCATGCTGAACAAAGTTGCTTGGTACTCTACCAGGAATTAGTTTGTTAGGTCTGATGCTTTTGAGGATGGGATCCTTTCCTTTTTCATGTCCTTGGGCCAAGATATTTATCATTGGAAGCTCACAGGGCTGTGCCTCACAAGTTGAAGTTTTCACCTGTCTGCTGGTCATTTTTTATCCTGAAATACAAGGTAAGTTTTATCCTTTGATCCCGCGCTTGCAAAATAATCCAAGACTTTATAGGAAAAAAATCAAATCCTGTCACAGTATTTGTATCTAGTAGAAAATATCACAGCCTGACTACCTGTATGCAGCACATTCTGTATAAGGAGTAGATTTTCGGGAATAAGGCAATAAAATTGTGTTGTGGTGCAGCTCTTAAAGCAGCAGACAGACAGTTTAGGTCCCAAATAACATAGTTCCAGAAGTCTCTAAGGTGCCTCTAATTGTGGTGGTGATGATACCTGCATTGGGGGGAGTAAAGAAGACCTTGAAAGCCTTTGTGGGGTAGAGTTGGAAATGTATCTGTTGCCACTTACTACCACAAGCAAGAGTTTTCAAAGGTGTTATCAGTAGAAACTCGCAGAACTAGGGTGAGAAATAGGGAACCAGTTCTCTGGAGGCTTTAATAAGAGCTTAGGACTCAGTTGTGTTACAATTTCTGGTGCCACTGAGAATGGGTATTCTACAAGTGGGAGGAGGGAAGAGACGTGGCCTCTTGCTACCTCTCACACTAAGATCCAGCAGGGTTGTCATGAGGTAGAGTTGCACCGATATGTCGGACCGAAACCAATTTTTATAAAGAAAATTGATTGCATTGGAAATCGGCCTGATATCAGCCAAATTATCAGCCACATGCATGTGCACAGCCGCAGCACAGCCTGGCAGTGTGGAGAGCTGCGTGCAGCTGGTAAATCTGTTGTGGTGGAAGGGAAGGGGGAGGGAAGCGGCGTTGGGGGGCAGATGAATGCCCCATGTGGTAAGGAAGGGAGTAAGGCCAGGCCTGGGACAGGGGCTGGAGCAGGTGCTTGCCCGGGCAGGGCGTACGACAGAGCCGTGGCTCGTCTGGGGGGGGCGGAGCAGCTCCCACTGCTGCGTGTGCCCCTGGATCTGTGCGGGGGGGAAGGATGGGGGGCCTGCAACTGGGGCTGGGCTCTTCCCAGCACATGCAGGGGGAGGGGTGTTGAGCCAGGGCTCCACTCGGTGTGGGCAGCAGCAGTGGTGGGAGTGGGGCTACAGGTGGGCTACAGTGAATTCTGGGGTGGCTGCAGCACCCCCCACCCTCCTGTAGCCCTCCTCCCAGCGTTGCTGCTGCTGGTCCCCAGTGCAGCCTTGCTCAGCTCCCATCAGAAAGAACCTGGCGCAGCCCCAGCCCACAACTGCAGCCTGCGCCGCCCCCCCCCCC